TTTTTACAAATAAAAACGGCTCTGCCTTCTCACAGAAGACCATAATATGCTGTTTTGAAAAGTTGTACAAGTATTTATTAAACGAAGCAATCGATATCAGATTGAGCATAATAACGGAACAACTAAAGCATAAGCATTTATGAAAATTATCACTTGGATCAAACATATGCCATTTCATTCTCGTAAATTGCCATATCCTCTTTTTTATTTTTCATCTGATGAGCACAACGATGCATCACTGAAAGAAAAAAAAAGACTTATGACTGTCAATACATACATGGCGCTGTTCAACTACTACACCAGATCTTCTGCCTTGTCAGCTCTTTACGAAGAATGTAAAACGGTAATTAAGATATTCCTAACATTTCAAACTTGTGTAAAGCAATATGGGCAGCTATTCCACACTAAAAGTCTGCTGTCAAGATTAATATTTAATGTTAAAATTATAATAAAATGTCCCGGTCGCTTCTGAGTGTAACAAGCTGTTGGATAAGTCTGCGTCGTTTATTTGCAACTCATAAAAATTCATATAAACCGAAAAGTTTTGACAATATATCATAAAATTAAGAAGAAGTCTTACACCAAAATATGTTTTTGAATTGTATACTGAATTAGGATGGCTAAATTAGAAGTGGTGATGAGAGATATTGAAGAACCACAAAAGGTCAGTTAACAGATCAAACCTTTTTTTTTGAACAAGAAGCATGAAATTATAAATTGTTATAAAGCTACCTCGAATTGACTGGACATTCTGATTACGAAAGCGTATTCATTATCTACGATATGCCTTACTGAAGGATTACAGAATACTTTACAGAGGTCAAAGTCACGGATTTGTTGGAAGGTGCTATGGGGTTTGTTAGTATGTTGCTCTTGAAAATCATATTCACATCGCAAATTAAGCTGTCACTGTAGAATTACGGTACGCATACAATAAAGACATCAAAATCACCTATCTGCTGGAAAGAGAAAATTGAGCAATTTCATATCCACCTTAGAAAATGGCTCTACCATGGATAATGAGTACAATTTTCGTAAACAGGATGTCAGTAGATCCCAGTTATAACTTTTCAAGCTCCGT